ACTCAGATACACAGCTCTGGCAAAGAATTCACAGAGAAACAGCAGAGAGGGAGTAGCGGTGAGTGATGTATGGTGGCGTACAGTAGGGCGAGCATGGGTGAGGCAAGGATCGGCCACTTCATCCTCTCCCACCCACAAACACGGGGAGAAACACGTACACTGGAAGCAGAAATCACCACAAACACACCTCTGACTTGCTGAAATAGCCGTGATGAGCTGAACAACAACAGCAGCAAAATGCAAGTGACGCTGAACACGTGACTTGAGAAATAATGTGGGGCAGTGTGGCATGGAGTCCCTGGGACGCCACTTAATTTCTCAAAGAAATTCGACAAATTTCGGCCTGGATTCTGCTCGTACCTGTGTCTGGATGCTAAGACTTGCAGATACAACATCCAGATAACTCGTTGAGAGATGGATGCTTCTTGTATGGGGCGATGAAGTAAAGACAACTCCATTCCTCTTCCTCTGTCCGGGTAAACACAGGCACCGCTGTCACCAATGTTTACTAAAATGGTTATTTGTGTCGTTCTTGGCAGGGAGTAATGATAAGGCTTCGGAGGCTTCTTTCTTTATTTGCGGAATCTGGGCACACAGGCAGTGTGTTAGTGCCCTAGCCTCGGAGGGGCCCTGCCAGCGACGGAGAGAGAAGTAGGCCTTGTTGACTGTGTGAAGGATTGGCGCCGAGAGAGAGAGAGGCAGGGTGATGCCGTTTCAAGTGGCATGCCCACTGAGAGGCCTAGAGGTGGCAGCACGAGCATGGCGCAAAATATGAACTCAGCTGGCAGACAACATACGATGTCGATGCAGACAGCACAGGCTGTCTACAACACTGTTGCTAAGTGGCAGATACACTGTTGTTATGTGACAGATATACTGCTGTTAAGTGGCAGAAACACTGCTGTTGAGTGGCAGACACACTGTTGTTAAGTAGCAGATACAATGTTGTCAAGTAGCAGATACACTGTTGTTAAGTGGCAGACACACTGTTGCTAAGTGGCAGACACACTGTTATTAAGTGGCAGATACACTGTTGTTAAGTGTCAGACACACTGCTGTTAAGTGGCAGATACACTGTTAAGTAGCAGATATACTGTTAAGTGGCAGACACACTGTTGTTAAGTGGCAGACACACTGTTATTAAGTGGCAGATACACTGTTGTTAAGTGGCAGACACACTGTTGTTAAGTAGCAGATACACTTTTGTTAAGTGGTAGATACACTGTTGTTAAGTGGCAGATTCACTGTTGTTAAGTGGCACACTGTTGTTAAGTGGCAGACACACTTGTTAAGTGGCAGATACACTGTTGTTAAGTGGTAGACACACTGTTGTTAAGTGGCAGACACACTGTTAAGTGGCAGATACACTGTTGTTAAGTGGCAGACACATTGTTAAGTGGCAGGCACATTGTTGTTAAGTGGCAGACACACTGTTGTTAAGTGGCAGACACACTGTTAAGTGGCAGACACACTGTTAAGTGGCAGACACACTGTTGTTAAGTGGAAGACACACTGTTGTTAAGTGGCAGACACTCCGTTAAGTGGCAGACACACTGTTAAGTGGCAGACACACTGTTAAGTGGCAGACACACTGTTGTTAAGTGGCAGACACACCATTAAGTGGCAGACACACTGTTAAGTGGCAGACACACTGTTGTTAAGTGGCAGACACTGTTAAGTGGCACACTGTTAAGTGGCAGACACACTGTTAAGTGGCAGACACACCGTTAAGTGGCAGACACACTGTTAAGTGACAGACACACTGTTGTTAAGTGGCAGACACTGTTAAGTGGCAGACACACTGTTGTTAAGTGGCAGGCACACTTGTTAAGTGGCAGACACACTGTTAAGTGGCAGACACACTGTTGTTAAGTGGCAGACACTGTTAAGTGGCAGACACACTGTTGTTAAGTGGCAGACACACCGTTAAGTGGCAGACACACTGTTAAGTGGCAGACACATTGTTGTTAAGTGGCAGACACACTGTTAAGTGGCAAACACTGTTAAGTGGCAGACACACTGTTAAGTGGCAGGCACACTGTTGTTAAGTGGCAGACACACCGTTAAGTGGCAGACACACTGTTAAGTGGCAGACACACTGTTGTTAAGTGGCAGACACACTGTTGTTAAGTGGCAGGCACTGTTAAGTGGCAGACACACTGTTGTTAAGTGGCAGGCACACTGCTGTTAGTGACAGACACACCGTTAAGTGGCAGACACACTGTTGTTAAGTGGCAGACACACTGTTGTTAAGTGGCAGACACTGTTGTTAAGTGGCAGACACACTGTTGTTAAGTGGCAGACACACTGTTGTTAAGTGGCAGACACACTGTTGTTAAGTGGCAGACACACTGTTGTTAAGTGGCAGACACTGTTAAGTGGCAAATACACTGTTGTTAAGTGGCAGACACACTGTTGTTAAGTGGCAGACACACTGTTGTTAAGTGGCAGACACACTGTTGTTAAGTGGCAGACACTGTTAAGTGGCAAATACACTGTTGTTAAGTGGCAGACACACTGTTGTTAAGTGGCAGACACACTGTTGTTAAGTGGCAGACACACTGTTGTTAAGTGGCAGACACTGTTAAGTGGCAAATACACTGTTGTTAAGTCATAGCATAAGTTTAGCATGAAAACTCTCTAGACTTCTTAATTCTAGACTAGTCTGTGCTTTAGGTGTAATCGTTATTTCTTCTGACTTTAGTGTATGGCGTTTTCGAAATAATTATAGCTGAATACTGAAGTTTAGCGAGAGGAGGGAAAACTACTATAATCCTTCTCTGTGTTATATAATTTGTGAGTACAGAAGATTATCAGAGGTACTATATCTCTTAGTCAAAGAGGCTCGTTCAGAACTGTGCGTCCAGAACCTGTAAGCCAGTTGCTGCGGCTAGCAGCAGGACCATGAACTACCCCACCTTCACGTGCCCTTACACACATGTGACCATGAGCTGTGATAGACCCATGCAACTACATTTAGGAGAGTACAATGTCTAGCCGCTGCTGTCAGTGTCGGCACCACTGGGACGGGCCACAGGGCCAGATGATAACATACACCCGTGCCGGTATTTTCTCTCATGATAATCTAACAATTGTTCTGCCTAGTTCTGTGACACCGCGGAAATACTTTTTATTTTTTTTATTAATGCAAAAATTAGATGAGGCACGGGAGTATTTGTTGAAACGCTGCATACAGCCCTGGTGCGCCAGAGGTTGTTAAATCACTTAGTATGATGATCACTTGCGTTTCCCTTAGTTTGTCTTTGGCTAACACGTATGTACAGAAGCTACACCAAGAAAATGTTTACAAAGAACACTAAGCAGTCCTCCCACACTGCAAACAACCATCTCGTTTACCAAGTGGCGCCTGCTAAGTTCGTCTTATAAGCAAATAATAAGGTTAAACTTTACCGATCTATTCTAAAAAAATCATTACGACCAATGAGTAGAGAGCAACAGGTGTGCTTGAGTGGATCCTCTCTCACGTTATCTTCGAAGGAGGAATGGATGGAGAGTTTTTTTTGTTTTTAAATTGGGTATATCATCCCTTCTCTATATGACATACAAAGTGAGAACACGAAGCAGCGGTATTTACCCGTCATAGTACATCACACAGGTTGGATTTCTTATACCAGGTAAAGAAATCTTATCAACCTGAGCTGGAAAGCTGCAGTAACACGACGAAGATAGAGTTAAATATTCCGTAGAGTGATGAATGGTGGAAAAGAGAAGGGATACTATTTAATAGGAGGGAGGAAGGGTAGGGGTTGAGGAGTGTGGCAGTGTTGGATCAGTGTTCCTCAACACGCGATCTGCAAACTTAATAATTACTAACCATCTACTCTGGTGTCTCCTAAACGATAAAATATCCGAACTCTTAAGACGTATCCACATTTTTTTTACCAACAAGATGAATGAACAGTTATTAGGTGATACGTTAACCTAGTAACTAACTAATGTTTGCACGGTTAATGATAAGATGCTTAACTTTTCAAGGTAGAACCATGGTATTGGGTATCTATATACCAAGACGTTCAGTGAAAGTTAGTTCGATAGTTTTATCATGCACTCCATGCCCCCCTCCCTTCCGTCAGCAGTGCTTGAAAGATTACAAACGTCCACGAGTCCAAGGACTAAGTCTTCAATACTGAGATAGCTCAGCATGTTAGAGTAAAATGAGCTGTGAACAGGAAAAATGGATTCAGTTACAGCAATAATAAATTGATTACACAAGCACTATATATTTTAGCAAAATATTACTATAAGTAAGAAATGTTTATAACTGCGTATAGAAATTCAGTGTCTGCGCCGCAAACTTTTCTCCATAACCAAAATGAAAGGATATGAGGAACATAAAACGGCTTACTAGTTTTGACTGACGAAATCGTAGTAGTAACACGACTGCAAACAAATCATAGAACGGGTGAGGTTCGAACAAATGGCTGGTGAGTCATTAACCACACAAGGCAGTGTGTTAACCCCTGGACCATCTGGCTCTAATAGGATATTTCTATAAACTATAGAGATATTAGCACGGGCCCCGCTGTAACCACGGCAGCATTGTTTTTATAGACGAATCCCACACCACGGCTGCCGTGGCTTCAATCCCTGCCCGTTCTGTGAATTTTTATTCGTTTGTGAATCCATTCCTCCTCCACCCCACCAGCCAGCACCCTTCCATCATCTTCAACCTTCACCCCACCAGCCAGCACCCATCCATCACCTTCAACCTTCACCCCACCAATCAGCACTCATCCATCATCTTCAACCTTCACCCCACCAACCAACACCCATCCATCATCATTAACCTCCTCCCCACCTGCCAGCACATATCCACCATAACCACTCCACACGTCTGTTATCCCAAGATACACCAGTAACCATCCACCATCACTCACCAAGATACACCAGTAACCATCCACCATCACTCACCAAGACACACCAGTAACCATCCACCATCACTCGCCAAGACACACCAGTAACCATCTACCATCACTCACCAAGCTCTGCAGCAGCGACAGCAGCTGCCGCCACCAGGAGGAGGACGGTGTTCCTCATCTGGCTGACGAAGGAGTTATCACAAAGTATTCAACTTGGGGAACCAATCTTGTCCTGGTGAGAGACGCAAGAAGAATAGGGAGGAGTGACTTACCTCCTCGTATTTAAAGACTTTCTTATCTATTGCGAGCCACTGTGAAGCAGAAGAGAAACAAGGAGAGGAAGAGGAGCAGGTGGTGTAGATGGAGGAGCATGCAGAAAGAGGATGATAAAAGTCAAGAAGAGGTGTAAATGAGACGAAGAAAGATAGGCAGAAGCAGACGGATGAATATTATCTAAGGAGATACACGTTGAGTATAAGGAAAACCTGAGTGAAGGTAATTTAGGTGTATCAGGTGATATACACAGGTATACAAAGAGAACCAAACAACACCAATCTGTGGGCACTAGGTAAATAGTGGATTTACTGAAAACAATTGATTCAGCCTGTTTTAAAACATACAAAATATTTCTCCCAAACTTCTGTCAATCTGTCCCATATATTTGCCACTAACGAAGAACTAATATTTCCTTGCATTCCCTCGGCTTGCCCATACTCGCACAAGCCTTGTAAAGCCAGTCAAGAAATGACGTAAATACTGCCCAATCCAACTACTGGACAATCTTCAAGTACTTCCTATGAACAGGTTGGGATATTTTGTGGTAATTTTAAACGTATTACTGTACTTCTCTAACGCCTTCCATCACATTATTTATCACTATCTCTCAGGTCTTTCTTTACAGGCTGTCATTAGCTCTGTTTTGTTAATTATTATACATTTTCATTCTTGCTTCCTATTGAATTGCTTTGCAGTTTCGACATTGAACTGCATTTGCCATATATTAGTGCAGTTTGCTAAGTCATATAACACTTCAGGGGAAATACCTTGATGCTGGTGGAAAGGTTTTGATCCGGGGAATCAGAGCTGCTCCTTTCTCCCACTAAACTAAATTACCCCTTTCCCCATTTCCCTGACGAGTTCAGCATTGTTTGTCTCTTGACTATAATCACAACACTGAGATGTATAAATCAGTTTGTGATCTATGGTTGTCTGGTCGCTTCGTCCTCGTTCAGTATTAATATTTTACAGACTAACCCACATCCAGTGTCATTTGTTTCTATAAACAGCACTGAACCGGTGCCAAGACTGACCCTTGCGGCACGCCGCTTGTTACGTCAGGTCACAGTGAAGCATTTACCTTCGGAATTTTGAACTGGTGCCAAGAGTGACCCCTGCGGTACGCCGCTTGTTACGTCTGGTCACAGTGAAGCATTTACCTTCGGAATTTTCCGCTATAGTGCCTCACTGTCGCTGGGTTGGAGCACGGTTCCCTACGGTGGCCAGTTTAGAGTAGGGATGATGACAGAACCTACATCAACCCTGGTTCCACAATTCAGAAAAGCGTCTTCAGTCTTCTGAAGTCTTCCGCAGCTGCTCAAATTCTGACGACCCGCTTACCTCCGTCCCTCCCCGCGCGCCTTCACTGAATGCTCTTGTTAACATGCTCTAGTATTTTCTTCCTGATGCTCACTCCCTTGACTTCTTTACTGTTAGCCTTTTCTCTGTTCGTTGTTCGCTCTCATTTCCTAATTTTGTGTTCCACTCTTACTGTGTGTGTGTGTGTGTGTGTGTGTGTGTGTGTGTGTGTGTGTGCGTGCGTGCGTGCGTGCGTGCGTGCTTGCGTGCGTGCGTGCGTGCACGCACTAGTAGACCCGAGACGCATTTTCTCTCTTTTATTTTCCTGAGGATAAACTCAACATCTAATACCGTGACACGACTTTTAACATGTGTACCTGACATTAAACTATGACAGAGGCGCTAACTGCTGGGTTTTGCCTAATACAGATTAGTTGCCTCTAAGCAAACTAGACGCATCCTGGAGATGAGTCGCATGAACCTGAACAAAGGAATGTGTAAACTAACTCATTCTTCTTTTCAACAAATTACGTGTGTAATAAAGAGGGAAGGAGCGCCATGGAAATTCTTATGCAAGAAAAGGTAAGTCATTGTTTACAAATTTTATGCCGCCATTGACATAACATAAATTTGAGAGAGAGAGCAAGAAATTACATAGTATAACAGGTGAAGCGTTAAGGTATGCTAAGATAAGATAAGATAAGATTTCGTTCGGATTTTTAACCCCGGAGGGTTAGCCACCCAGGATAACCCAAGAAAGTCAGTGCGTCATCGAGGACTGTCTAACTTATTTCCATTGGGGTCCTTAATCTTGTCCCCCAGGATGCGACCCACACCAGTCGACTAACACCCAGGTACCTATTTGCTGCTAGGTGAACAGGACAACAGGTGTAAGGAAACGTGTCGAAATGTTTCCACCCGCCGGGAATCGAACCCGGGCCCTCCGTGTGTGAAGCGGGAGCTTTAGCCACCAGGCCACCGAGCCTAGACCGTTATCAAATAGCCGGCAGTACTAGTCCAGGACAGAATGAAGCGTCATTTTTTCATTTCTAAATAGCCAGGTAGTTGTGAATTGTTGTTGATGTGATATTATCGCGATACTTAGTGATAAACACTGATTATAGATTAAAAAATAAAAGCACAATACCCTAACTGGAACAATACACAAATAACCCGAACGTATGAGAATGAAACTTATGACGACGTTTCGGTCTGACTTGCACCACGGACTGATTAATAGTCCAAGTCGGGCCGAAACGTTGTCCTATGAGTTTCACTCTCCTATGTGTGAGTTAGTTGTGTATATATAGTGTCATCCCTGCACCCCAACGGGGAAGACGATAGACGATAGACGATAGAGAGGCAATAGAGAAACAGAGGCAATAGAGAGGCAATAGAGACGATAGAGGCAATGGAGACGGTAGAGAGGCAATACAGAAATGACAGAGGCAATAGAGACGATAGAGAGGCGACAGAGAGGCAATAGAGACGACAGAGAGGGAATAGAGACGATAGAGAGGCAATAGAGACGATATAGAGGCAATAAAGAGACGATAGAGGCAATAGAGATGACAGAGAGGCAATAGAGAGACAATAGAGAGGCAACAGAGACGACAGAGAGGCAATAGAGAGACGATAGAGGCAAGAGAGACGATATAGAGGCAATGGAGACGACAGAGGCAATAGAGAGACGAGAGACAGGTGACCCGACTCGTTGCAGTTCAAGACTGAGTACGCGTGTTTATGAACAATAAAATGGTATAAAATACCGACAGGTTGTTTAGGTGAGACACATATGCAACAGTTAGGTATCTTTATTTCGAAACGTTTCGCCTACACAGTAGGCTTCTTCAGTCGAGTACAGCAAAGTTGATAGCGATGTAATCAGTCCATCACCCTTAAAGTTTTGAGGTGGTCAGTCCCTCAGTCTGGAGAAGAGTATTGTTCCATTGTCTGGAATAATCTGGAGTTGAAGTGATAGGATGGAGCCTTATATAGCGCCAGGAGATGAGACGTAGGTCACTAGTAGAGTAAGAATGTAGACATTGAGAGGTCAGGTCCCTCTCAAATCCAGCCTTTCTCACTAGTAGAGGTTGTTGAAGTGGTTCCAAGTCTGTACCAAGATACCCTTGTGTTGCAGTGTCTGACAGAGTGAACAATAAAATGGTATAAAATACCGACAGGTTGTTTAGGTAAGACACATATGCAACAGTTAGGTATCTTTATTTCGAAACGTTTCGCCTACACAGTAGGCTTCTTCAGTCGAGTACAGCAAAGTTGATAGAAGCAGAAGAGACTTGAAGACGATGTAATCAGTCCATCACCCTTAAAGTTCACTCTGTCAGACACTGCAACACAAGGGTATCTTGGTACAGACTTGGAACCACTTCAACAACCTCTACTAGTGAGAAAGGCTGGATTTGAGAGGGACCTGACCTCTCAATGTCTACATTCTTACTCTACTAGTGACCTACGTCTCACCTCCTGGCGCTATATAAGGCTCCATCCTATCACTTCAACTCCAGATTATTCCAGACAATGGAACAATACTCTTCTTCAGACTGAGGGACTGACCACCTCAAAACTTTAAGGGTGATGGACTGATTACATCGTCTGCAAGTCTCTTCCGCTTCTATCAACTTTGCTGTACTCGACTGAAGAAGCCTACAGTGTAGGCGAAACGTTTCGAAATAAAGATACCTAACTGTTGCATATGTGTCTTACCTAAACAACGCGTGTTTATGCCAGGTTATCTAACTAATATTGATGTCACCTGTCCTCTCTCCCATCACCGCCAGGCACATTCTCACACTGGTACTCTTATCTCGGCTCTACTGGTACTCTCCCGGTACTCACTCTCCTGGTACTCACTTTCCCGGTACTCACTTTCCTGGTAATCATTCTCCCGGTACTCACTCTCCCAGTACTCATTCTCCTGGTACTCACTCTCCAGGTACTCACTCGCTTGGTACTCATGCCAGTTACAGTTTGGGGTGACAGATCCCTTTCCTGTTGACTGACGTGACATAGCGGACGTGATGACGTGACTAGCTGATGTGAAGACACTACTGACTGACGTGATGACGTGACAAGCTGATGTGAAGACACTACTGACTGACGTGATGACGTGACTAGCTGATGTGAAGACACTACTGGCTGACGTGATGACGTGACTGGCTGATGTGAAGACACTACTGGCTGACGTGATGACGTGACTGGTTAACGTAACTCGTAGTTTTATCATCTCAAATTTTCATCCGATGATCTACTAAGATGGCAAAGACATCAACTCGCTCAAAACATCAACTCACTCAAAACATCAACTCGCTCAAAACATCAACTCACTCAAAACATCAACTCACTCAAAACATCAACTCACTCAAAACATCAACTCGCTCAAAACATCAACTCATTCAAAACATCAACTCACCCAGAACATCAACTCACTCAAAACATCAACTCACTCAAAACATCAACTCACTCAAACATCAACTCACTCAAAACATCAACTCATTCAAAACATCAACTCACCAAACATCAACTCACTCAAAACATCACTCACTCAAAACATCAACTCACCTCAAAAATCAACTCACTCAAAACATCACTCATCAAAACATCAACTAAACTCTCAAAACATCAACTCACTCAAAACATCAACTCACTCAAACATCAACTCACTCAAAACATCAACTCATCAAAAC